GTGTAATAGAAACCCCACCAGTTGTGTAACTAACTTTGGAGCCAAAGCAAACAAACAATTGAGCCCTATAACAAAAGAAACCTAGAATTCTTGCAAAAATACAACAATGAAGCCCTTGAAAATAAACATGCACTCAGCCATAGCAAAGAAGCAACCATGATGATCTAGCAAAGAAACATGAGGTACTGGCACACCAATGCACGAACTGAAGCCCGACCATGCACAACCCGAAGCTCAAGTGACACCCCCGGAGCCCGACCAGTTATTTAACCGGAGCCCGACCAGTTATTTATTTAACCGGAGCCCGACCAGTTATTTAACCGGAGCCCGACCAGTTGTGTAACCGGAGCCCGACCAGTTGTGTAACCGGAGCCCGACCAGTTGTGTATCTGGACCCTACCAGTTGTGTAACTAACTTTGGAGCCAAAGCAAACAAACAATTGAGCCCTATAACAAAAGAAACCTAGAATTCTTGCAAAAATACAACAATGAAGCCCTTGAAAATAAACATGCACTCAGCCATAGCAAAGAAACAACCATGATGATCTAGCAAAGAAACATGAGATACTGGCACACCAGTGCACGAACTGAAGCCCGACCATGCACAACCCGAAGCCCAAATGACACCCCCGGAGCCCGACCAGTTATTTAACCGGAGCCCGACCAGTTATTTATTTAACCGGAGCCCGACCAGTTATTTAACCGGAGCCCGACCAGTTGTGTAACCGGAGCCCGACCAGTTGTGTAACCGGAGCCCGACCAGTTGTGTAACCGGAGCCCGATCAGTTGTGTATCTGGACCCTACCAGTTGTGTAATAGTAACCCCCACCAGTTGTGTAATCAGAGCCCGACCAGTTGTGTAACAGAAACCCCACCAGTTGTGTAACCGCAAGCCTAGCAAGTATACATCTCATCCAACTCCACCAAGCTAAACAGCCCCAGAGCCCAACCAAACTCCATTTCTCGCTCGACCAAACAAAAATTGCCTTAGCCCTACCTACAACCCTCCACTTGCCCTAGAAACCAGCTATGGAGCCCTAGCAAACAAACCTGGAACACAAGTATACAAATAACCCCTGGAGCACAACCATGCACGAATCAGAGCCCGATCATGCACAACCCGAAGCCCAAGTGACACCCCCCGGAGCCCGACCAGTTACGTAACCGGAGCCCGACCAGTTGTGTAACCGGAGCCCGACCAGTTTTGTAACCGGAGCCCGACCAGTTGTGTAACCGAAGCCCGACCAGTTGTGTAACCAAACCCCGACCAGTTGTGTAACCAAACCCCGACCAGTTGTGTAACTGCAAGCCTAGCATGGACGAACTAAACAAAACCTCTGAAGCACAACCATGCACGAACCGAAGCCTGAATACCCACAACCCGAAGCCTAGTGACACCCCTATATAGCCCGAACAGTTATGTAACCGGCGCCCGACCAGTTAAGTAACTAGACACCGACCAGTTGTGTAACCGAAAGCCTAGCATGAATGAACCAAACAAACAATTCAAAATAAACATCAAACAAACATCTGAAGCATCACCATGCACGAACCGAAGCCCGACCGTGCACAACCCGTAACGGCAGTAAAAAAGCAAACCAAACCCCGGGAATAATCACGCGTACCTTTACCTTCAAGGAAAAGAAAGTTGACCTTCAATTGTTTAAGTTTCTGGTGCGCCCCCACATGAATTATTGCATCCAGGCATGGAGACCTCATCTTCAGAAAGACATAGCTGTTCTGAAGCCATGTCTTACCAGAGCTATGGAGCTATGTCTTACGACAAAAATCATACCAGCGCTTAGTCATCTCTCGTATCAGGAACGGTTGAGGGCCACAGGGCTAACACCACCACAAACCAGGCATGACAGGGCGAACTTCATAGAAACCTATAAAATTCTCAACAAATTGGAGGATGTCGATCAGGACAATGTCTTCAAAAGGTCAGATGTTACACGAACAAGGAGCAACGGGTTCAAACTCAACAAGCCAGAATATTGGACAGAAAACAGGAGATGCTTTTTCACCCATAGGGTTGTAAACCCGTGGAACCGCCTACCCGCCGAAACCGTAAACGCCAAAACTCTGCTGGGTTTTAAAATACAGCTGGAAAAGATCATCAGGGCAAATGCGGGGACTTTAACAAGCCGCCGGCTTACTGTCCTCATCGAGGCCACTAGTATTAGTGGCTCTCGCCTCGGGTAAATTCAGTTCCTGGAGGGGTGTCCCCGCTCCTTCCTGTTGGGAAGTTGTTCAACTATTGCAGTGCACTGCACTGTCGCTTGTCACTAAACTTAGTTTTTAAACTATTAACTTCTATAACAAGTCTTCTTAAGTCTATAACATATGCGTCTTGGGAGGTGGAGACAGGGGGTCGACCGCCGCGTTAACTAGCCTAGCCTGACGACGGGGTGGTTTAACACTATGGGGAAGTGTATTCTACGTAATATCCTACCCATATAATATTGGCAAATCATGATCCTCAAAATCTTCCACAATATCCGAGAGAGGACGGACTATTTAGCATTAGTGGAATACAAACATTTGAATACTACAGAACCCGGATGAAAAAAAAAATACGGAAACTGACCTTCGGAGACATTACTAAAACTCAATGTTATAATAGCGAGCAAATGTATAATGCATTAAGCATTGTAGATGGAGGTAGACTATATATTCATGCTACCTCCCAACTGCTCAGATAGCAAAAAAAAAAAAAAAAAAAAAAAAAGATCAGCCTTACCTACACGGGAGCGACATACTCACGCCGCCGCTGCTTCCTGACGACTGGCGGGTAGTCGATGACCCGGAAGCGTCCAACCGACCCCAGAGACCCTCTGCCTAAAATTATTTGAACGCCATATTGAAATTCCTAGCATATAGCGCCAGGAGTGTGTAAATTAATATTTATATGTGCATTAGAGGCCTTTCTAAAGTAGTTTATAGATCTGAATATCATATATTGTATAACAAACGGATTATTTAAGTTAATATTTTAATTATGCCAGATACAAGTCTCAACGCTCACAAAATTCGTCAGCGTATTTTTTTTTGTTGTATTTTTTTGTATTTATATATAAAAAGAGTTCTTCTTTCTCGTAAAGTAGATTCTTGTGAATTCTTGTAAAGCCATTAGCATGCATAGCGTTTTGAGCAGGTCCTTAATCCTAATTTCTTCCCTGGAATACGACCCGCCAAATAGGCCAAACAACCATTTCTCTGCTGGGTCAACAGTTAAGGATTGTCGCCCGGTCAGTTCTTCCCGGGCGGCAGGTCACAGCGCTGGCAAAGAGCCGTGTTGGGCGCGCGCTTTACCACTGCGCCACGGAGATTTCAGGATTATTTAATTAGCTAAGATATACCTGAATTTACCAAAGGGTAACTATCTCTCAGTGAGGATACGAAGCCAGCGGCTTGTCAATTGTCCCCTATTTGCCCTGGTGATTTTATCGAGCAATGTTTTGACATTTACAGCTTCTGTATTTTAGAATCTAATGATGAATACTAATGAGTATTTGAAACGTTATGAATTTTTAATTGAAATGTAAATATCTTAATTAAAAAAATAATATATATATTGGGAGGCTCATTAACACACATCAGAAACACTTGACAATATAATAGTCACTTCAGATACGCCTAACACAACTAGCAGATTGATAGGGGTTATATGCAAGGTAAAAATCAAACAAACATACATTGTTATCTTAATATATTATGTTATACAGTGAAGAGAGACTAGGTAGTGCCACACGTACAGTGAAACATTCTTAGTACCAGAGCCATAGAGAACATACCATAGCCCCCTCACTCAGGCACTTACAGTGCCAGAGTCACACAGCGCGCACCACAAGCCGTCACCCCAACACACACACACACACACAGACACGCACACACACACACACACACACACACACACACACACACACACACACACACACACACACACAACCAACCTACAAAATCCTCAGGGGAATCGACCGGGTAAACAAGGACGAACTTTTCAACACTGGTGGGACGCGAACAAGGGGACACAGGTGGAAGCTGAGTACCCAAATGAGCCACAGAGACGTTAGAAAGAACTTTTTCAGTGTCAGAGTAGTTAGCAAATGGAATGCATTAGGAAGTGATGTGGTGGAGGCTGACTCCATTCACAGTTTCAAATGTAGATATGATAGAGCCCAATAGGCTCAGAAATCTGTACACCTGTTGATTGACGGTTGAGAGGCGGGACCAAAGAGCCAGAGCTTAACCCCCGCAAACACAACTAGGTGAGTACACACACACACTGGAAGTTTGAGAACTCATTATATTGTAGGCTTACCTCATTAGCTAACGTACTACGTTGTTTAATAAGGAAGTATCCATTAGAGCAACTTTGAGGAAACATTATGTTAAGAAGACATTTTGGTCTGAGATCGGCTGGATACTGAACGAAATGAATTTAGAGACTTTCCTTTAAATAAAGTCACTATTTTGTACATTACTCTGTATGGTCCGGATAAGGTCATTACATTATTAATTACTCTTGTGTGACCCAGATGAGGGCATACATCACACACATTACTGACCCAAGTTAGGGCATACATCACACACATAACACTATGTGACCAGATGAGGTTACTATAACATACATTACACGAGTATCAGGAAAGTTTCCACCGACAAACACAGGGAAAAAGCTCCATTTGAACTAGTATAATTGAGCTTCAGTTGTTTGGCGTCTCACAGCCCTTAAAATAAACTTACTACTATTGGCTACATCTGACAATCCTACTAATACAACTTAAGGAGATCAGATTTGAGCATTGTACTGTACAAGTCGCCAAGCTAGAAAAAAGATTCCTTCTTACTAACGCTTGCGGCTTAAAAAATAGCAAGATCAAGCATTCTGCAGCTTTTGTTTCTCCGCTGGAGGGAGAGTTCCTGTTTACACTAAGTCATTACCTCAACATTACCTAAATTATCATGTCACCCTCTCCAGGACTTCCATTAGAGTGTTGTTTGGGGTTCTATAGAGCCTTGACGATAGTGTTCTTGAGACTGCTTCGTCGCAGGAGTTCCTTCTGAGGGAGATGTAACCATTTTCATCCACCACGCGGAACCTTAAGGGGGGGGGGGGGATGAACATCTCTAGAAAATGCCTTATGGAGAACGAAAGAAGTATCTCCGCTGGTAGTTAGTTTCAGGAACCTTTGCTCCTTTGATCATCTTCCTGGAATCCCTTTGCTCATCTTCCTGGAATCCCTTTGAGTCCCTTTGATCATCTTCCTGGAATCCCTTTGAGTCCCTTTGATCATCTTCCTGGAATCCCTTTGAGTCCCTTTGATCATCTTCCTGGAATCTTTTTGAGTCCCTTTGATCATCTTCTTGGAATCTTTTTGAGTCCCTTTGCTCATCTTCCTGGAAGTGAGAATCCCCCCAAACAGGACACATGGAACACGTGTCCGAGACCCCCTCAGGACTTGAGCAGCCCGTAACGGAGGTCGTTTAACTAGAGGGATGTCTTAGGGGTGTAAGTTAGCACAGCTCTCTCTTCGAGGGCCTGAACAAGGAGAGGTAAGGGTCGTAGAGAAGGCTAGGATGCAGGCTGGGCATGTCTCGCAGGAGCGGACTGTACAGGCTTTCCATGGAGGCCGTAGAAGTCATGGGTAGACAGTTCAGGTTGGAGAGACCGCTCAGGCTGGACAAGTTGGGAGACACCAGGAAGCTGGACCCTGCCTGGAACGAGAGAGAGATTACTTTAGTGCCAAGGCAACGAACGGTACACCACCTACGTCACATATACCTCACATATAGGAGTCATTGCATCATATACAGGTCAGGAGTAATTGCATTAGACAACCGGCGGCTGAAAAGGTGGGCTCCGAGAACTAAAACTCGATCCTGGAGGTATAAACAGACGAGTACAAATCTGTGAGAACACACGGGAGCCGGTAGGCATATGATGTACCTGGTCCGTAGAAGGGAGTTCGGACTTAAGAGTAAGGTCATAGTAGCGCATCCGCTGCTGGATCTCCGCGTCGCTCGTGTTGAACTTGTAGATCAGCTTCGTCCCGTCGATGTGGAAGAGGATGCCCCTCTTGTAGTAGGTCCTGTAGAGGAGAGGAGGAACACGACTGTTTACTTATGTGGCTCCGAGAACCGGGTTAATGGTGCAGACTCAGCTGGCAGCAGGGGAGTGAAAAATTGTTAATTTAAGAAGTAAAATCGGGTTTAGAGCATTGTAAACACTTATTTTTTGCTCACACTCCACTTCCTGTCTCTCCCACGATAGCTAACACATCGTTACATCGCCGCTAACACACCACTGAAGAGGAATTGTAACTTCGAAATAACATCTCACTACATCATTGTCATCATCACATTAACGGGACAGTATCAATGAATTGGTTGGTTTTGAGCATGTCGTGGTTAAGTGGTCTGAGGTGTGTGCTTGGGAGTACCCAGTGTGGCAGTTTCGAATCGCCCTCACGGCTCCTACTGATTTTCTCATTCATACATCACCTTAATGTGATTTCTTTGTCATTATTAATTATTATTATTATTATAATTATTATTATACACGGCAACAACAATAACGCACAACACTCCGGCAACAACACCACCTCAACAACAACACTCCGGCAACAACACCACCTCAACAACAACACTCCGGCAACAACACCACCTCAACAACAACACCACAACAACAACAACAACACACAACAACAACACCACACAACAACAACACCACACAACAACACCACACAACAACAACACACACAACAACAACACCACACAACAACACACCACACACACAACAACACCACACAACAACAACACCACACAACAACACCACCACACAACAACACACCACACAACAACACCACACACAACACACACAACAACACAACACACAACACCACACACAACAACACACACACAACAACACCAACACAACAACAACACCACACACACAACAACACCACACAACAACAACACCACACAACAACACCACACAACAACACCACACAACACACACAACAACACCACCAACAACAACACCACACAACAACACCACACAACAACACCACCACACAACAACACCACACAACAACAACACCACACAACAACAACACCACACAACAACAACACCACACAACAACAACACCACACAACAACACCACCACACAACAACACCACACAACAACACACACACACAACAACACCACACAACAACAACACCACACAACAACACACACACAACAACAACACCACACAACAACACCACACAACAACACCACACAACAACACCACACAACAACACCACACAACAACACCACACAACAACACAACACAACACACCACACAACAACACCACACAACAACACCACACAACAACACCACACAACAACACCACACAACAACACCACACAACAACACCACACAACAACACCACACAACAACAACACACACACAACAACAACACCACACAACAACACCACACAACAACACCACACAACAACACACACAACAACACACACACAACACACAACAACAACACACACACAACAACACACACAACAACACACACAACAACACCACACAACAACAACACACAACAACAACACCACACAACAACACCACACAACAACACCACACAACAACACCACACAACAACACCACACAACAACACCACACAACAACACCACACAACAACACCACACAACAACACCACACAACAACACCACACAACAACACACACAACAACACCACCACACAACAACACCACACAACAACACCACACAACAACACACAACACACAACAACAACACCACCTCAGCAACAACACCACACAACAACACCACACAACAACACCTCACAACAACAACACCACCTCAGCAACAACACCACACAACAACACCACACAACAACACCTCACAACAACAACACCACCTCAGCAACAACACCACACAACAACAACACACAACAACACACACAACAACACCTCACAACAACAACACCACCTCAGCAACAACACCACACAACAACACCACACAACAAACACCACACAACAACACCACACAACAACACACAACAACACCACACAACAACACACACAACAACACCACACAACAACACCACACAACAACACCACACAACAACAACACCACCTCACAACAACACCACACAACAACACCACACAACAACACCACACAACAACACCACACAACAACACCACACAACAACACACACACACAACAACACCACCTCAGCAACAACACCACACAACAACACCACACAACAACACCACACAACAACACCACACAACAACACCACACAACAACAACACACAACACCACCTCAGCAACAACACCACACAACAACACCACACAACAACACCACACAACAACACCACACAACAACACCACACAACAACACCACACAACAACACCACACACAACAACAACACCACACAACAACACCAACAACACACACACAACAACACCACACACACAACACCACACACAACAACACACACAACAACACCACACACACAACAACACCAACAACAACACCACACAACAACACCACACAACAACAACACACACAACAACACCACACAACAACACCACACAACAACACCACACAACAACACCACACAACAACACCACACAACAACACCACACAACAACACACCACACAACAACACCACACAACAACAACACACACCTCACACAACAACACCACACACACAACAACAACAACACACACAACACCACACAACAACACACACACACACAACAACAACACCACACAACAACACACACACAACAACACCACACAACAACAACACCACAGCAACAACACAACACAACACAACAACACCACCTCAGCAACAACACCACACAACAACACCACACAACAACACCACACAACAACACCACACAACACCTCAGCAACAACACCACACAACAACACCACACAACAACACCACACAACAACACCACACAACAACACCACACAACAACACCACACAACAACACCACACAACAACAACACCACCTCAGCAACAACACCACACAACAACACCACACAACAACACCACACAACAACACCACACAACAACACCACACAACAACACCACACAACAACACCACACAACAACACCACACAACAACACCACACAACAACACCACACAACAACAACACCACCTCAGCAACAACACCACACAACAACACCACCTCAGCAACAACACCACACAACAACACCACACAACAACACCACACAACAACACCACACAACAACACCACACAACAACACCACACAACAACACCACACAACAACACCACACAACAACACCACACAACAACACCACACAACAACAACACCACCTCAGCAACAACACCACACAACAACACCACACAACAACAACACCACCTCAGCAACAACACCACACAACAACACCACACAACAACACCACACAACAACAACACCACCTCAGCAACAACACCACACAACAACACCACACAACAACACCACACAACAACACCACCTCAACAACAACACCCCAGCAACAACACCACACAACAACAACAACACCCAGCAACAACACCACACAACAACAACAACACACTCACCGCATGCCTCGTGACATTTTCTCATAGTTCATGTTGGTGTTCTTGCGTGCTCGGCCCCACAGCTGAGCCACCATGTCCGACTCCATGATCCTGAAAGCAGTTCTTCTCTCAGCATTTGGCTTTACTACACACTCACGAGGTAATTAATAAAAATCAACATTTCAACAAAATCGAGGATATGAAAGATGCAAACAAAAAGTTTGTTAAATTGATGACAAAATAAGCTATAAACGCGTGTCCATTTAAGAACATAAGAACATAAGAACAAAGGCAACTGCAGAAGGCCTATTGGCCCATACGAGGCAGCTCCTATCTATAACCACCCAATCCCACTCATATAAGAACATAAGAACATTATTTTTTGGTAAATATTTTGTTTTCGTCGATTGTAGCGACATCTATGAGTGTAAATCATAACTTTTTTAAACATATGATAAGGGTCTTGAAGATAAGAATGCCTCGGTGCAGGCATTTGATATGTGCTCAAGTTGGAGTTTGTCTTACCTAAAGATGCCGGCCGGGCGGTCGAGCCAGCGGATGTAGATGGGGGTGTAGTGTGGGTTGTGGAGGAGGTCGAGCAGGAACCTCCAGAGTAGCACCCTCGACCCGCTGCTGGTCGACCCCGGACCCCGGGTCCCGCTCTCTGAGGGAGGAATATGCAAGACTAAGTTGGTGGGGGACTGAAGAGATTGATTGATTGATGAAGATTAAGCCACCCAAAAGGTGGTACGGGCATGAATAGCTCGTAAGTGGTGGCCCTTTTGAGACATTACCAGTATCAATAGATGATACTGGAGATCTGTGGAGGTGCGACTGCACCCTGCGTGACGGGAGATGTCTCCCTTATGAATGTGTTAAGATGAAGATGAAGCCACCCAAAAGGTGGCACGGGCATGAATAGCTCGTAAGTGGTGGCCCTTTTGAGACATTACCAGTATCAATAGATGATACTGGAGATCTGTGGAGGTGCGACTGCACCCTGCGTGACGGGAGATGTCTCCCTTATGAATGTGTTAAGATGAAGATGAAGCCACCCAAAAGGTGGCACGGGCATGAATAGCTCGTAAGTGGTGGCCCTTTTGAGACATTACCAGTATCAATAGATGATACTGGAGATCTGTGGAGGTGCGACTGCACCCTGCGTGACGGGAGATGTCTCCCGTGCCTGAAGAGAGGAGGAGGAGGAAGGGGTCGGAGAAGAAATGTAGTGCGACGTTTGCGAGGGAGAAAGTGAGGAGAATGAAAGGGGGAAGTAACAGAAAAGTGGATTAAGTAAGCACCAACAAAGGAAAGAGAAGAAAAGGGGAAAACAATAAGAGGTGGGAGACAAAGGGAGCGAAAGAACGTGACGTAGAGAGGAGGAAGCGAGACTGAAGACGACATACGAGTCTAAATTTTGTGTGCGAAGGTCCGCAAGTGCCATACGCTGCAGCCAAGAGTTTTAACTCGACACTTTGCAAGCGCCCAACCTGAGTACCTATGAACATAAGAATTAGGGAGCAGCGCAGTAGGTCACGGGTCATACTAGGCAGGTACTTTATATCCACACCTTCTCATCCATATACCTATCCCCTCTCATCCAAATAACTATGCTCTCTCATCCGCGTACTTACACAGTCTATTAAAGAAACCTATTAAACTGTTTGTCTCTATGATGCTAGCTAATAGCCCATTCTACAACCCTGAGCTATTAAAAGAGTTTCATAATCCTGTTTATATACCCGTTTGTTGATGCCTCTAACCCACTTGAAAACCTCGATCATATCCCTCTTGTGCTGTGCCTCTGGCGAGTTCAGATTGTGACACTTCAATCTGTCTCCGTAGGAAAGGTCAACGATACCAGGTATCAGCCTTGTCAGCCTTCACTGTATTTTCTTCAACCCATCCTCCGAATTGACAGTACGATTTAATACTAAGTGTAATAAGTACACTTTCGTACTGTCATAACCAGTGCATAATTGTACTTATTTACCCAACTCCCTCCCCCGATTTAAATCTCCTCGTTTTCTGTTAACACACTCAGAATTTTAGGATGCAGTTTTCAATTTCAATTAGCAATACACAAGTTTTAAATATCAGGAATTTCTTTTTCAGGTTTATTAAACAATATAGATTTTATACAAAATTTTAAAATATCCTTAGTTACTTTACAATTTATTGATATATTTTAGTTTTGTTTTATTAGTTTTATAAAACTGTAATATCAATACAGCTATAAGTTAAGTACTAATTGTAATTAAGAAGCAATAAAATTATTATCTTCAAAAACTAAGACGGTTAGGTGAGGGTGTGGTTTTCTATTCAGTTTTTGGGGTAAACTCAAATATTCACAATATATTTGACAGTACGATTTAATACTAAGTGAAAATAAGTACAATTTCTAACTGCTATGAATAGTACATAATTGCACTTATTTGTCTCCTTACATTTACCACCCCATTTTTGGAGGACGGGCTGATTTTCTTTGTCAAGTCAATGGTCATTCTATAGTACGTCGACCAGTGGGGCTACACCAGTGCTAGATATACCTGAAGGATTGTACTTGTGCCTCTGTTGCTGAAGTGTCTTACTATAAATCCCAGCGCCCTGTTTGCTTTATTTCATGTTTTGAGACATTGTTGTCTCGGCCTCAGGTTGCTGTTAACAGTGACTAAGGTCTCTCTCAACCTGATGTATCAATGATTGTATTATGGACGTGGTGTATAGCATCGCTGTTTTTCCCTAGGTTGATAACTTGCATTTTTCAATTTAAATTACATTTGACCTTTTTCCGCTCAGCCCTGGCGGAAATTAAGTTTCTTTGCAGTTTCTCAGTCTTCTTCTGTATTCACTACAAGTCCTGTCATTGTGTCATCTGCAAACTTGCTGATATTACAGGTCACTCCAGTACCAAGGTTGCTGATGTATATTATGGACATCAGTGGGCCCAGTACAGAGCCCTGCGACATGCCAAAAGTGACGTCCATCCATTCTGATTTCGCTACATTTATACTGATCCTGTGTTTTTTTCTTTTAACCATACCCTGAACCCCCTTATATATACACTTTGATGAAAGTGACAGCATTTCAGTCCTTCCTGGGGCCGCTGTCCAGTTGTAACTGAGCAAAAGTGGGAGAGGGAGTCTTATGTTGGAACATTCTTGCAAGTTAACTCAGCTACGACTTTTATAACATAACTCTTTTACACCTGTTTTGGGAGTCTCTTATCAACCTGTACGGAACATTTTCAGCAGAAGGAAACTATTATAAAGTTGCTTTGGATTTCATAACTAGTTTTTTTTTGCAGCGGACCACAGATACAGGGATGGTGGTTCTACCTTGTTGCATTAAGTATTGCATAGCAGAAGAAATCTTACCTTATCTTGCCTGTCACTAAAGATATTGTACTTGTCACGGAAGGAAACGAGAGACCAGAAGCCTCCAGTGGAGGTTTCTGGTCCAGACCAGAGACCAGTGGAGCATCTGTAGGTGTCCACTTTGGGAGAACCGACAGATGTTGTTAGTGTTAACTGTGTTCACCTGCAGGAGATCACTCTTGGGGCAGGTATTCACCCTGAGAGCACCTGAAGCTGCTCACTCTGGGAAAACCTGCAAATGTTCTCTCTGGGAGCACCAACAGGTGTTAACTCTGGGGTTACCTGCAATGTTCACTCTGGGGGTACCTGCAGATGTTCACTCTGGGGGTACCTGCAGATGTTCACTCTGGGGGTACCTGCAGATGTTCACTTTAGGAGCTCCGCGCATGAATGTTCACTCTGAACAAGAACTCGTGTTTGGGGGGCTGTGGAATGCCACCCGGTCTGTGTTCTGCAGCTCACGTGAGCAACACTTACCGCTCTTCGTGCTTGGCGTCGTGGGCGTGGTGGGCGTGAGGGGCTCCTTGGTGGCTGTAGGCGTCTGGGGCAAGCTGAGATTGTCATTGGCTGTTGGGGAGGGTGACTCCTGGTGGGGGGAGCCCGGGTTTGAGGAGTGGGCCGGTGGGGGAGAGTGAAGAGGCTGCAGCAGCCGGGATGGCGGCACCACGCTTACTGACGACGACCTCACCTGCAACAACAACATTGATGAAGATTAAGTCACCCAAAAGGTGGCAATTATTATTATTATTAAAAAAACCACAGGAGCCTTGATAAGGGTTCGAACCTATGCGCTGTTCCCGGACCTCAATATATAGATTCGAACCCTCATCAAGCCTCCTTTGGATTTGTTATTTGATATATCACGTTAATGTGATTTCTCTGTGTATTATTATTACTGTTTTCTCGTGTAAATAAATACTGTTATGATTTTCTGTAAACAAACTATCAATGTAAATATATTTCCGAATAAATCTTTTAAGCTGAATTGAACTGGAGGGAACTTACCGTGTGTGAGGAGGGGGAGGAGGGGTGGGGGAGGTGGTGGGGGGCGGAGTGGTCCCTGGCGGCCTGTGGGGGCGCCGAGTTCGGGGGGCTGAGGTGGTGGCTCCTGAAGAAGTGAGTGTTAGAGGCGTGTCCCGTCAGGTACGGAGGGGCGGAGGTCGGGGGCGTGGAGTGGGGTGATGTGGCCAGGAGCTCCCCTTCCTCCCCTGACGCCAGGGGCTCCACCTTGCACCTCTTCCTGCTCTACAGGTGGGAAATAAAATAAACAAAGACAATTAGATTAAAGAAAATAATATTAATCTTGACTTGCTACTTCGCCTTTACTGTTTCATTGTCTTTCCTCTCTCTCTCTACCTCCCTACTTTCTCGCACTATCCCTCTTTTTTCTTTTTAACGGACTAGGGTATATTATAAAGTCTCGGTCGTACAGTTGAGTTCATTCCCGATTCACAATTGGGAATCTGGAGTTCAAACTCCTGTTCCTGTTCCTATTTTTCTCTCCCTACGTCTTTCTCTCTCTCCCTACGTCTTTCTCTCTCCCTTACCCCTTTCTCTCTTTCCCCGTCTACTTCTCTTACCGTCTCTTCCGAATACCCTGCGGTGTTCGAATAGTTTTGAATGTCACGTTCAATAGTTTTGAACGTCACGGTTTTGAATAGTTTTGAACGTCACACAGTGACGTTCCATCACAGTCACTGTGATGAAACGTGGAAAAATGATGAATTTAGAGAATATTTTATTTATATTTCGCTCTCTATTTCTCTACATCTCTCTTTTCTATATTTTGATTTCCTCTCTCTAATTTCTTTACCATCCCTCTCCCCCTCCCCTATAAGGTTGTTGTTGTTAAAGATTTAGCTACTCAGGACGAAGTGTCCATGTAGCACGGACTATGGTGAACCCGTAAACCTATAAGGGTCATGCCAGTCCTTACCTGTGTGTCCTGTTGATTGAGAGGGCCGCCGAGTCTCTTGGGCCCGGAGAAGCCGTCAAGGCGTGTGTGCAGGGTGGGCGTGGCGGGGGAGTGGTTGAAGGTGAACATGTTGGGCGAGAGTGGGCCCAGAGGGCTCGCCCGGGGGACGCTCGACCTCGGCGATGCTGACAGAGGCGAGGCCGCTTCTTCCTTTTGTGTCGACATCTTCTGTAGTCCGCTGATCTCCAGGTCTTCGGCCAGCTGCAAGGTTAGACAAGGGTTGGTGAGAGGTGGAGGATCCCAGCGGTGGTGTTGGTGATAATTGTTAGTGGTGGGGATGACAGGTTGATTGATTGATGAAGATTAAGCCACCCAAAAGGTGGCACGGGCATGAATAGCCCGTAAGTGGTGGCCCTTTTGAGCCATTACCAGTATCAACAGATTATACTGGAGATCTGTGGAGGTGCGACTGCACCCTGCGTGACCGGAGATGTCTCCCGTCTCATGACAGGTGATAATGATGACTTATTTCTAGCCCTGTTGCCTCCATTCCTGTAAATATATCCCCCAGACACTATATTCCCCCCTCTCGCATCACTATAGAACCACCTCCACGTCTCTTGTGCCGTGTGTGTGGCCAGACTCACCTTGAGGACCTCGGAGACATCCTGGTGGGGTATCCTGAGGGAGCCGCTGTAGCAGAAGGAGACAACGTGTCGTAGGTGGCGGGGGTCGGCGCCCCTCACCACGATCACGGGGTGCTGACCCGCTGGCACCCCCTGAGGAGAGGAAGCGATTGTTTTAAGGCAAAAATCTTGATATTAAGGACATATTTGTTATTGCAACTCCACTTGATTTGTCTGGTGTATACATAGAATCTCTTGTCAAGTTTGTTGACAAGAGAGTCCAACTTTTATGTTGGAGAGACTCAAGGTCAAGGTCGGTTCAATTGCTCCCCTTGAAGGGAGGTCAGCCCCTATACCCCCTCACAAAGTCGGTGGATATGGAAAAAAAATGTGCAACCCAAAGTCCATAGCGTTCGTTATTAGTGCAAAACGAAGATATACATGACAGATTTGCATTCTGGTCACAATATTTTGTGACCAAAAATGCACAAAAGGTGTGTCTGATGGGAGATAGGGAGGAGGTGAGTGTGGGAGAGGACTGAGCACAAGGTCGACCCGGGCATCGCCGGGTATCCTATCTAGTATTGTATAAGGAAAAACCTGAATTCCAATTCAGTGTTTATTTATAAAAGATGTTAAAGCTACCCAATTGACGTAATACTCAGGATATCACAATATGCATGTTAGTACTCCTGTACCCACTTGTGTAAAAAAGAAAAACTAATGGGTAGTTTACAAGTTTTCGTATTGTGATACAGCCATCAAAAGATGGCTAGTATCTACAATATCTACAATACTACATGAGACTACAAGGAGCACAAGTTATTGAGACAAGCGGGAATGACACGCAAGTCCTTCCGAGAATCATCACAATGGCGAGGCTCCACCGGTGACAGAAGCCTGATCGTCAGTCTTTTACTGATGGGTAACAATTATGAAGATTAATACTAAAGAATACATCAGGAAGATCACGCCTGGCTGCTGGAATGGCCTAGGAAGTGGTTGCTAGACCACATAGTAATGAAGTACTTTAATTTAATACGACTATGTATGAAGCATGGGGATATTATAGATAATATTTTTCTCCTCGCAGAAGTAAATTAATGTAATGAAGTTTAAAATAAAGAGGTATAGGTAGACTCTGTATAGAGTTTAGGATGTTGATATGTTAATGTCCAGTAATAGGTGAGAGGCGGGGCCTTGGTTGAAGCTCAGCCACCGCGAGCACAGCACGGTGGGTACAGCACGGTGGGTACAGCAAGGCGGGTACAGCACGGTGGCTACAGCAAGGTGGGTACAGCAAGGTGGGGTACATACTCGGAGACTTGCACAATAACTTGGGTTTTTTAGGACACTGTTTCCTGTTGTTTGGTGATGTTTATTTCCCACTAAACGCACGACAAGCCCCTTCCTCTTCATCCTCCTCCCCCCCCCCCATCCCCACAACCCTCCCCCTCCCTCCCTCCGCAATCTCACAGTCCCCCCCCCCCCCATCCAACTAGCAGTTAACAAACCTATATTGTTGTTGTTAAAGATTCGCTACCTGGAACAAAAAGTTCCAAGTAACACGGGCTATGGTGAGCCCGTAGAAACAAACCTAACTGCCTGGTTCAACTAAGCGCAGCGGCCCAAGTACAGTACGATTTAATATCTCGATTAAATGTTTACAAGTCTCGCCAGAAACATTCATACGGACGCACCCATGAATTTCCGTTGCATAAAGGAAGTTAAATGAGCCGCAGCTGTTATCTCTTTTACAGTCTAATGAAACTTTATCTTTGTATTTTCTGTTGTAATTTCTTTAAAATATAAATAGGTTGATATAATATAAATTGTCTTTACAAACAATAGCTACCGATATCATGAGTGTCTTGAAGACAATGCTTGCTACGGATAACGTAAATGTCTTTAAAGAGCAATAGATATGGATATCGTAAATGTCTTTAAAAAAACAATAGCTACGGACATCGTATAATTCATCGTACGCTGACATGTTCTAAGCTCATTTTCAGATAACAAGTTATCTAGTTAGGGGGGAGGGGCCGCCATTATTTAGATAACTAATTATGTTAGATTCCGAATACATGTTTTATATACTGATAACAATAAATGAGGGATATTCAACTGAAGCATTACAGTCTTTGAAAGGAAGAATACGATAAAATATTTCGGGATTACAATATTTGTCATCAGATATAATAACACAATGTTTCATAAAAAAATATTATATTATTTGTTAAAAAATGTAATGTTGCTCTTTATATATATTTGACATTGTCAGACCACGAAGGAAGGATTGAAACAGGAATTGCCTTAAGTACTTTAGTATTTAATAATACATCTTCAGAAGGAAGATGTATTATTCTTCATCCTTCTGAAGATGTATTTAATACGAAAGTACTTAAGGAAATTCATGTTTCAATCCTTCATTCGTGGTTTGACACTGTCTCATTTTTCATCACGTGTTAATTTTCGTGATTTACACACACACACACACACACACACACACACACACACACACACATATATATATATATATATATATATATATATATATATATATATATATATATATATATATATATATATATATATATACTATATATATATATATATTTATAGTTGAAAACTTCTCCCCCATATGCTGTTCAAAAGAATTGGAAGTCGTCAGACCCTTAACCCAATCCCTGAAAGCACTGGGTGGGATTAGTAGACACAACGACAATCTACTATAGCTATAATTTTTTTGAGATATATACAAGAGTTGTTACATTCTTGTACAGTCACTAGTACGCGTAGCGTTTCGGGCAGGTCCCTGGAATACGATCCCCGCCGCGAAGAATCGTTGTTACAAACAAGTACACATTTTACTGTTGCGTTAAACAGAGGCTACAGTTAAGGATTTGCGCCTAGTAAATTCTCCCCGGCCAGGATACGAACCCATGACAAAGCGCTCGCTGAACGCCAGGCGAGTGTCTTACAACTCCACCACGGAGACTGATAATGACGATATCTTCGGCATTATGGAGGGCGAAGACCACGTACTGAATTTCTGTACATGGGAAAACAAAGTTCACGCTAACATGAGAATTACACTGGAAAAGAGCGAACACTCAATCGCCTTCCTTCATACGATAGTGTACATCGACGAGACAGACAAGACGCTACAGACAACAGCCTTTTATAAGCCCACAGACTTGCACACAAAACCTAAAATATGACTCAAGCGATACGCAAATACTTAAGGACTCACTACCTTTCTCCTTACGACTGAGACTGAAAAGGATCACGAGTAAAGAGGAGAAATTGTACCCGTAACTTGATAGCTTGTGGAGCCCGTTCAGAGAGAGAGAAAGAGGGAGGTTACCCGGACCGAATAATGCGGAAAACAGAAGAAAAACTCAGAGGCTTCGGGAGGACGCAACTCCTCAGACCTAAAATTAGATAAGACCAGACGGATAGATGGATCCTCCCGACACTCTCCGTCCCAGGCTTGGCAGGACCTTCACAAGAAGGAATGACAAACTATGGGGATGGGTGAAAGAAACCTATGAGGAACACCCAGCCTGGACAACATTCCCTGGGCGCCTACCCATGATAGCCTAGAAGAGAGGCGGAGAAATCTCACGGACCACCTCGTGAGAGCTTATTTAAAACGACCAAAACTGAGAACTCAACCAAACCTAACTTAGGAGAAGAGAAACCTAACCTAAATATTCCTAAAAATGCATGTTCAGCGGTTAGGGAGGACCCACATGTAACAGTTCGCTAACATATAGATAAAAAAAAGAGACGATGAAGCTAACGAAGCAGAAAATGAAATTAAAATTGGTCACTGACCTGTAGGACAGCTCTGAAGAAGGCGCTGGCGGCGGCAAGAACGATCCTGTGGGAGGGGATGGAGGCGCCCTTGGTGGCCACCGTGACGTCGGCTGAGGCTGGGTCGTGCTCCAGGCGGGCCACCTGCTGCGACAGGTGGTTACCGTGACCCTCCCACCTCACACGGTACTCCTCCGGCTGCACCGACCACCTGGGGGAGTGAGACAGGTGGAGACTAATAATAAATAACTGAACACAAAAGTAGCTTTTTGATCAAAATATGATGATGAACTTATGATAATGGTGAGATATTATAAATTACTCTAATGTGATTAAAAATAATCTCAGGCTATCAATTTATATTTGTGATTTTCTGCACAGGAATATTACATAATACCTTATAATAAAAGAAATGTTAGCTGGGGGGAAAGAGGGGAGGGAGAGACAGACAGATAGACCCGGGAACCGCTGGTAACCCCTTCCCGTACTATATAAATAATAATATATATATATATAACAAAACACCACCACCGGCCTGCGTGTGAGTGCAGAGAGGTCCAGTGCCACTCTTAGCAGCCTAATCACTGCACTCGGCCATCGCGAGTCGCTATAACATCTTCATGTGGGGGCACAACATACCTACATCACTCACGCCACATGCAGCAGGGCAGCTTCAACAGCCGCTGCTGAATGTGGGCCAGCGGTCACAAGTTTATTAATAAAGTAGCAATTCTAGCAGTCAAGCGTTTAGTGTTGTGAATGGAACTTATAACATTAGAAAATGTTATTCCGAGCAACTAAGACTTTAGCAAAAATGTGATGTTAACTGAACATTTCCACAGATATGGTAAGTTACACAATACTAAAGCTTGTTCAACTTGGCAAGAACCAGGTAATTAGGTAAGCTTGACTCAAGCACTTCTGGCCAAAGGTGACCAAAGAATGCACACAATATTCTTGGCTTATATAGGCCATTTTGCCCAAGCTAGCACTACCACAGGCTAGCCCGAGTATTGAGAGAACAGGTCAAGGGGGCCCAGAGGGCAACGGGGTCAGGTCAGAGTGTCGTCACCTGCTTGTTAGTGTCGCTGGAACAGAGGTGGCGCATCCTGTGTCTCCAGCGCTATCAAGGACCTCCTGCGGGCCATGATAAGGACACTAGCTGCGGCACTATACAGGATCTCTTACGTCCCTTGATAATGCCACCATAGGGACGACAAGGGGGCCTGCCATGTATGTCCCTTGTAGCCTATGAAATACTCTGTGGTATACCTTTATGTTAAAAAATAATACATGTTTGCATGTGCGCAAGAACCTTTGAATTTGCATCAGTTCCGTGGATCATTGAGTCTTCACTTATGAGACCATTGCTCAACTCAACTCTCCCTTACGTCTCTCCTTCAAGAAGAAGAAAAGGTGACACGAAAGAAGGAAACGAGATCAGACAAGTTGTTCTTGACGGCGGCCACAGTACCAAGAAAGGTTGACGGTGGTGGAGAGTCCTTATCAGCTGACGCTCCTGGCTTCCCTTCCCTTCCTAGGAACCTCATCTTGCCTCTCACTTTGCCCACCGTCAAAATCTGGGGTTAACCTGCAGTGTTCTGCTTCTCGAAACATGACGATGGAGCTTGAACATTTGCCGAAGCTTTTAATGTATTCTGAAGAACTATACACGTAACTGAAGTTCCCAAGTGGGCGGATACTGGGCATTGTACTGGGGGGAGGAGCCTGAGGGCTGGTGGGCGGGTACTGTACGGCGCGGGGGGAGGAGCCTGAGGGCTGGTGGGCGGGTACTGTACGGCGCGGGGGGGAGGAGCCTGAGGGCCGGTGGGCGGGTACTGTACGGCGCGGGGGGAGGAGCCTGAGGGCCGGTGGGCGGGTACTGTACGGCGCGGGGGGGAGGAGCCTGAGGGCCGGTGGGCGGGTACTGTACGGCGCGGGGGGAGGAGCCTGAGGGCCGGTGGGCGGGTAGTGTACGGCGCGGGGGGAGGAGCCTGAGGGCCGGTGGGCGGGTAGTGTACGACGCGGGGGGAGGAGCCTGAGGGCCGGTGGGCGGGGTTTCATGACACCATCAAGATGAACTATGAACCAACACCAAAATTGATCAAATGGTTTGCATTTTTTAAGTGATATTTAATAATGAAAATCACTCACTACTTAAATCTAGAAAGTGTAGGTACAGCAACTGAACAGATATAGAATATAATGTTCACAATAACAGCATAACATAGGTTGACATTCTGGATGAAGAAATGTGAGCAAATTGGTTACATAATGATTGATATTACTCAGTTTCTCTTTTGAACCGGTTGAGAGAAGAACAGTTTTTAATCTTATTATGTAGGTCATTCCACAGTTTAGAACACCTTGACTTGCCAGGCATTTCTTCTCTGGTTAAGTCTCACTCTAGGAACACCAACTAGATAGTGTGGCGACCAAGGGTTCTGCTACAGCCCTCTAGGAAGAGTTTGAAGTCAGGATTAGTATGGCAAAGGAGAGTTTTATATAGAGTACACTTGAGAGCGTGTGTAGAGACTTCACATGTACCATATTCAAGCAGTTCAGTAAGGAAGCAGAGTGCTGTCTGTGCCTGGAGTTTGTTATTGTTTGAATTACTCATTTTGTTGAATACTTATGGGTCTAATGGTAGTCTTGGGTTGAAGATTCCCAGGCGCAGATACCGTAGGTGAGATACAGATAGGTGAACAAATCCACAAGGGCCGTGACGAGGATTCGAACCTGCGTCCGGAAGCATTCCAGATGCTGCCTTAATCGACTGAGCTACGACATGGTCAAAAAGAGTTGAAACCGAAGTTCTACTGAACTTACTGGATCCTGCAGCCTCTCCGAGACAGATAGGTGAGTGAACAATATAGTGTCACCAAGGCAAAGCGAGGTACGTAACATAGGATTTTAAAGCGAATACCTATTGTTGTTGAACCTTTCTGTGCTGAGATGTGAGCCTTGCTGTAGTTAGCGGTCGCAACCACCTGTTATGCTCAACAACTGCCTAAAGATGTGAATTGTGGCTGAGTCCGTTAAGTACCGTTGCGTCTGACCGCTAACTACACGGATAAACACATGGAAACAGCCTCACCTTTAGTTAGGTAAGGCTATATAGTCTCATTAAGGTCTTTGCCTATAGGGTAAACCCATATCGAGAGGAAATGAACAACATTAGAGGAATTAATATTAAATAAAACTGAGGACACGGGCGCACATCCAGAGAGAAGCAGAGTCACCGTCCTTGGGCCAATGGCGTAAGCGCTGACTCTCCAGCAGAGGACACAAGTATTCACCTATTTGTGCTTGCGGGGGTTGAGCTTTGGCTCTTTGGTCCCGCGGCTGGTCTGTGTGTGGTCTGTGTGGCTGGTCTGTGTGTGTGTGGTCTACAAGGTTCAAACATTGTTCTCTACAAGTCTCTCCCTCGAGAACAACCTACCAAGTGAGGTGTGTGACAACCTGATAGATGTTCCCCTTTGTACGAAGAGAGTAACTGCGACGGTCTTATCACCCGTTAACATGCACAGTTATGTAACGCATTTTGGTAACAGGCTGGCGACCAACCCATACTGTCACTTAAAAAAAAATTTGTGCAAGTGATTGGCTAATAACCCAGAATTGTGTTCAATCAAAACACATAATCTCCCCATTGCTTCAGATAACTGTACAGAAAAAGTGTTCTAGTTTGCAAACTTCAAAGTAAACTCTAACTAGTCACGTGTTAAAAAAAATAGATCATAATAAGAGGAAGAGAACAATATTAGAAAATATCGAGAGAAAACGAAAAATAACAGACAAAATATTAACGGCACAATTTGCCAAATAAAGAAGAAGGTCCAGTTTAGTGAAGACTGATACAAGTGCTTGAGGCAGCCGCAGGTTTTCCTCGTGAAGATCTGGTGACTCAGGTTTATATATACAGAAGTGTGACCTGCGTCACCAGCCGCTGGACCTGAGCCTTGTGCAAGACACAAGCGGCGCCCAGCTGCTCTGTCTGACTCACTCTTGAGGAAGTGGTCGACCAGGCGGGTAGGCAAGCCATACCAACAGCCAGGATGTTGGTGAAGTCAGAGGAACAGCCAAGGAGCTGATGAAGTCAGAGGAACAGCCAAGGAGCTGATGAAGTCAGAGGAACAGCCAAGGAGCTGATGAAGTCAGAGGAACAGCCAAGGAGCTGATGAAGTCAGAGGAACAGCCAAGGAGCTGATGAAGTCAGAGGAACAGCCAAGGAGCTGATGAAGTCAGAGGAACCATAGGGAGGGGTTGAGGAGAGCTTGGGGAGCCAGAGTTGATGAGTCCAGAGGAACAGTAGTAGGCATCCATCAGTTTCAGGAGACTATGGAGTTGCGCTCTGATGTCGGCCTGGTCTGGAGTGGCCTCACCAGGGCGCAAAACGAGGGTCCTGTACCCTAGACATAGGTCTCTGATTTCTTTCAAGAACAGCTTGTATGAAATCAGAGACCTGTCTTCCCGAGTCTGTACGGCTTTAAGGTCCGAGGAAGAGCGTGAGCTGCCTTGTACTCAAGGCAAAGACAGACTCTTACGTTCAGGCTGCTAGTAAGATAATGGGGACATCCTATTTGATTACCGATAGACTGTGAAGTCGTGAAAAAATATCTAAATTACAGGTTAAAACGTTCACTGTCTCTGAAAGTTCGCTGTGGCAAAATTGTGGAAGGAGCTTGTTATACCTCGCATGATGGTTCAATCAACAACAAATAACTATGCTAATATTTTCTGCAATATATAGACTGCTGAGGTTACATTGCAAGAAGCACAGTCACCAGCACACTTGTTTTTCATAAATTTCTAAACGCCCAGATAAGTGACTTCCCTCAGAGAATTTCAGAGAGCTATATCCTTACAGGTTCCTTTGTGCGTAACGTAACTTTCAATGTCCACATATCCGGATCTGAGCAAGACGAATCACCTTGGAGAGGACGGAGACGACGGGCTGGCGCCACTGAGTCATTAATGTGGTGGTCATCAGGGTAGTGAGTCTATCCACCTCGAGATGGCACTCTAATGCCTCAAGGTGTGAGTAAAATCCATTTGCCAGGAGACGGTGAATGGCGCTCCCTTCTTAGAGATCCGGTGGCCGCGCCCACAGCAACAGGGACATGAAGAAGAGTATGATATCAGTGCCAGACTCGTCCCATGGCTCTCCCTCCCCCACGTCGGGGACCACAGCGCGTGGGAAGGGAGGAAGTAATGTGTGACGCAATATATTGA